AGTCTGCAAAGCAGCTCCCCATGCCATAAATGCTACCTTTATAAAGGCCACCCACCGTCTCTGACTATATAGTATCCTCATCAACTGACTTTGAATCCTAAGAAGATGTCTCCTCAAGCCTTTGAACATAGTTATCCTACAGTTCAATGCAGATAATTATATATTAGTATCGAAAACTATTTAATAAATTATTAATAATAACATATAGTGTCAATAAGAATGACTTACATATGTGGCCTAAGATTGTGTATCAACTCACAAGGTTTTGTCTCTCTTGCGAGTATGTATCTCCTTGAACACCTCTCCATGTGTAGGTGGTCTCTTTAATGATTTTTCTTGTAATTTCAATTAAATCACCATCTCACTCATCAATTATAGATTGAATAAAATAAATTTTAAAAGAAAATTAAAAATCACATACCAAATTTGCAGGAGTATTGTTCTTTACGGAAAGATTTTTAAACTCATCCGTACCCCAATACTCCTGCAAAACATGAAGAAAGTTAGGTGTTATCCAATTAGCATATGATAGATCCTAATGGGCTTTAGTGTACATTTGTCTTAGTCACTTCGCAATGTGACTCTTCCATGCCTTGAAAATCATCTTTTGCATCATGGGGGTAATGGAGAAGTTGCTCTACATAAATACAGAATTACAATAAACAATATCTAATTACACTTAGCTGAAATTAATTAACTGTTATTACCTTCCAATCTTTGAACCATTCCATCTTTATATCTTTAGGCACTTTTGCAAAACTTGTGTAAGGCGCATCAAACATCTTCTTAATAGTATCTGTCACCTAGTGGAAACCTTTCTGCGATGGGATCCAACTTAACACACAATAAAATAATACAATTATTATAACATTCACATCAAATAGAGTTATTATTCATATTTTAAATTTAACTTACCAAGTAGACTCATCCCATCTTAAAGTTGGAAGCGATCTCGATGATGCCTGAGTCTATGATGATTGCTACCCATTTACAGCTAGGATAGTAGTGAATCCCTCACTTGTGCCCTATGTAGAAAGATGTTGTGTTACATGTATAGTCGGTAGTGAAGGGGGAGGAGCAACATACCCAGGGTTGGGCACCATGATAAATTACTCTTGTCCCCTATCATGCGAGGTCTGCATAGTAGCTGGTGCAGAGGTGAAAGTGGTGAAGGAGTGTTGTCACGATTAAGACGCTCAGCAACACTTTTCTTACCTTTACCTGCCATATCTGAAACAAATATAATACACGTTTAGAGACCAAATACACAAATACACAATATTGTATTAACCTTTTATTTGATATTACACAAATTTTTAATGTAAATTTTGGCAGAATCTCTCCTAATATATAAATATTTCATTATATTTGTTTATACTTAATAAAACAAATTTTTAATGAAAATTTTGGCAGAATCTCTCCTGATATATGAATATTTCCTTACATTTGTTTACACTTAATACAACAAATTTCTAATGTAAATTTTGGCAGAATCTCCCTTAATATATGAATATTTCCTTACATTTATTTACACATACTTAATACAAAAATCTAAATTTTCTTTACACATAATCTATATATTATGTAACAATCTATTAATTAATGCATAAAAAGTATACACATTACAATCCTAAACCGTTCTAAAGCACATCCCCTTATAACTACACAACATGTATATTCTACAAACTCCACAAATACAAACAATCCTACAGCACACAATAATCAGGTTCGGAGAAGGACCTCTACGCCCTTCTCTCCAGTCATACAATCTCTAATCCTACAATTCTATCTTAAAAATTTTAAGTCTCTAAAATACATCAAAAAATAGAAAAACTAAACCGATTAAAAGTTACAGTATGTACTAAGAACACAATGATGCAAATTATCTTTCAAATGGATGCTCCAATCACTCGCAAAGGCCCAAAAACTGAAGCTCCTAGAGAGAGATAGAGAGAGAGAGGTGAGAGAGAGGAAATTATGCAAAATAAGGAGGAAGAAGGAGGAGGCACGAATTTATGTGTTTTGCACATTATAGACGGAAAAATTTGTCTGTAAATAGTTTAATGAAACAGTGCATTTTAAAGGTTCACTTACAGATGGATTTATCTGTCTATAAATTTGTCAAACACAGTTATAGACGGATAAATCCCTCTGTAAATTGTCAGATGAAAAGTCAGTCAAAAACAAAAATATTTACAAACAGATTTTCCCATCTGTAACTCCCATTCCAAATTTCCCTCCCATTTTCAAATTACAGACAGAAATATCCGTATGTAATTCTTGTCTATAATATTTCGCGCCAAATGACAGGCCAACTACAGACAGTCAATACAGACAGATTTTTCAAAAATTTATAAAAAAAATAGAAAAAAAACCAAAAATCTGTTTGTAAATCCATCTGTATTGACCATATGTAAGTAGCGCTTTTCTAGTAGTGTCTTTAAGACTAAATTTTTTGTGAGATCTAGAAAGGAGCTCAAGTTTTGACCAGAAATACTACCCAAGACAGAAGTTCTTCCTAATATTACAGTATAGAGTATTATTATGCAAAGAAAGAACAGAGAAAAAGGAACGAGATTCAAGAGCTAAGCTCCAGAAACTTACTTGGATTCAAGTGGAATAGACGTTTGAGTTCAGATCAGAGAGAGATTTACGGTTAGAGGAGGATTTCTCTAAGAAGAGAGAGGGAGAGAACAGAGAGAATTAAGAGGGAGAGGTGATTTTCATGAAAAATGAAAATTTTCAATGCGAACTCCCTTAAATACCCTTCAAACTGACACGTTTTGTCTTGAACGAGCAAGCTCTTGCTTGAGCGAGAGAACCAGATAATATCTTTTCTAGCCTTTTTTTTTTATATTCTCACATAAGCGAGAGGTATTCTCACTTGAGGAGAGGTATTCTCGCTTGAGTGAGAATGGATCCAGAGAGTTGGCTATTTCTTGTGAGTCCTTGCCTAGGCAAGATCACTTCTCGCTCAAGTGAAATTGTTGATCACCTAGCAAGAGGATAGTTAGGGCAGTGTTATCCTCTCTTGTTTAACTGAGAATGCTCCAGAAAGCTTAATTCAAAATGACTTTGTCTTGCTTGAGTGACACACATCTCACTCAAGCGAGAAACTTTATACCAAAATTCTTATTTTTTCAAAAATAAGAGAATAAAAATAAAGGTGTTATACTAATGAAATATGATAGTGTGTAATGTAAACTTTAGATTAGTTTACTATAAATTGATGACACTTAGATTCATTTAAATCTTTCTTTTGTGTATAGTTTTTCTTTCTTGTATTGAAGGGTGTAGTTTTGAAGAGGTTGAGTGATAACAATTTTTAACCTTATCAATGACAATGGTGATGTTGAGTTTGACATTTTTAAAGACACAAAAAGTGTAAAGTGAAAAATAATTTAAAATTTTTTAAATATAAATTAATAATAAATAAATTCTTATTTTTTCACTACAAAAAAAGGATAATTTACTCACGGTTAATTATGATATTAACAACGGTTTAAACTGCTGTAAATAACGTTACCCATAGTTAACAAAACCGTAGCTAATTTAAGCATAGCAAACAAATTATCTACAGTTTTGGACAACCTAGGTAGTTGTTGTATTTCTCATGGTTACCTAACCCCTGTTAGTTAACTGCAATTTTTTATAAACACCGTTATTTACCCGCGATTCAATAACCACTGTTAATTACTCACAGTTCTATAACCACCGTTAATTACTCGCAGCTTAGTGGCAGAGGCTAGAATGAAAGTTTTGAAGCTACACAAAACAACCATTAGCCTAGACCAACCAATCACCAAATCAACTTAAAGCAAATAAGTTTATAGGGGCATTAAGTGCACAATTGCACTCAACAAAAAAGAAATAAATAATAGGATATTAAATTTAAATAGAAAGAAGATTGACACTTAACCAAATCTTAAAACAGCAAGAAAAATAACAAGCATAAAACTAACGAGTAAGATGCTATAAAAATAAATTGTAGAATTCAATTGTATATAGTAATATGGTGAAAGGAAAAGTCAAGAAAATGCATACATGAGCAATAAACAAAATACTACAAGTTCCAAGGTAAAAATAGTTGTAATAACAAGCAAACTACGAATCTCAATGTCTCTGAATATTAATTGCTCGGTATCATACAAAAATATCCCACTAACCTTACTACACATCCAACTAATCTACATCATCAACTGTGATTCTTTAAATTCAAGTAAAATATATACAAAACAAACATCAAATACTTTCTAACTTCAAGTTTTCCCACCCACATTTAAAGAACCACTCTCTCTCGCTCTTCAACGACAACTCCACTACTTTAACCCCAAACACAAACTCCAAACGTTAAACACAAATTGTACTTGGTTAGGAGACATTAGGAAGATTCAATCGAACCTTTACACGATAGAGAGGGCACAAAATTGATACAAAAAGGAGTTTAGTAAGAGGATGCTATTTTCTCAATGCATGATAGGGTTATGTTTTGGGATTGAGAGAGAAGGGTATTTGTGCGGGCAAGGTTATAATAAATGGATGAAAAAAATATTTTAATAATTACCTGAATTTTTCACAACTTTCATTAATTAACTATGGTTATTACAATAAACCGCATAAAATATTTAAATTTAACTATAGTTGTTTAAATTGTAGGTAATATTCAAATTTAACAACAGTTATATAAACCATGTGAAAAAAACTGTGGGAAAAATTAATTTTTCTAGTTGTGTTTTTGGGTAACACATTACATGTATTCTTTTAGAAGAACTGAATCCATGAGTTTTTTTTTTTTAAATGATGACACAAATAACATGAAATTTAACTATAATTAATGGATAGGCGCTTATCAAATCATAACTGGAGTTTTCATATTATTCTTTTGTTTCACAGAATTACAAGATTATTGCAACTGCATACTGGAAAATAAAAATAAAAGTCGTCTTATTCAGCCGAAGCACAGGGAATTCTAAAGCAATATATATGTAGGCTCAATTTTAACACAGGAAGCGTTAAAAAGTAGTAACACCTACAATTTAAAACTAAAGTTTATTGATACTTTTGGGTAAGAAGAACTTCTCCCCTCGAAAACTCCATGCATTATTATATCTTCTGATCTCCCAATTTGTGAATTTGATCGATGTTGATCAGCAATTACGCGAGTATGGATTACATGTTGCTTTCGGTGCTGCTTTCGGCGGTAAGCAACTCCTGTAAGACTTATTAGGGTCACACTTAATAGCAGGTTTTTGAGGGTCCCCATTATTAAACACCTCTGTTGCTGCATTTAAAAGCATCTTTATCATTAAATTATTTCCAAATATACGAAGCAGGTAGATTCGATACATGCATGATGCATGTCTTCGGAAAAGTATAAAACCATAAAAGAAGCAAATTGTATCTATGTTGCCATGAGATAGAGCTTTTAGGTAGGTTTCAAGTTATGATTTATTTAAAAAACATGATATAGCAGCGGGAATGTAACAATTAATTGGATATTTCTTGTTTGAAACATGTTCAATAAGGACACAAGAAAGAAAAAGATTCCAATTTTACATTACATGTTCTACAAGAACTGAAGTATTAAGTCTAATAATGAAAAATAAGACAATCTTTAAAACTTGGAAGTTAAATTAGTCAGTCTTACCCTTCAGTTCTCGAGCAAGTGTTAAACTGGGAAGGAAAATAACAGTAGCCAACAGTAAGAATGCAATAAGAATGGCCTTCATGTTTGGGAAATATATATGCTTAGGAGATATAACTAGATTTTCCTTATGCATGGATATAACACATGTTATCATGTATTTATAGCCTCCAATCTATGAAGTGCTATGAAATATATATTGATTTTTTATGTCATATCTTTGTCTCAACGACTAGTAACAGGACTTGCTTTGTAACTTAGCTTGTTGATTGACTAAGTAATAAATTGATATTATTTGAACAAATATATATTAAAAAGGTTTGCGGTCAGGTTCGTTAAAGACTTCTCCAAATTGAAAATAATTTCAACGATACATACAATTTTTAGGGCACTTCCTGGAAATGCAAGGATTTAGACAAAAAAATCTATACTAAATCTTAACTTCATAATTTTGCAAAACGACAAAGCCGAAGACTTGCAAACGAAGACTTGTTAGTGAAAAAACAGCACAAACATCTTATTCCTGTTCTAACATTTTGCAAACACTTGGTCTTAAAAACTGCAAATATGTCCATGTTTGTTGCGTACACTTTGGCCTTTTCTTTCAATTTTCTAACTTATAGCCCTAATTTTGGGTCGTTCAACTTTTCCCTTGTTTTAATATTATGTGGGGCAGAGAATCATATGTTCTTATCCTAACTTATTAAATTGGAATAAAATAAGAGAGTGGGTTTAAAAAATATTTACCAGGAAAATTAGTTATAGCATACTTAATTAATTTGCTTTTAAATAATCAGTTTTTGTTAATTTAATTTCTATTAATACAAGAGTGAAAACATCTTTCTGGAGACAAAAAATAATTGAAAATACAAAATTAAAGTTTTATTTGATTTTTTTTTAATATAATTAGTATTGTCCACAAATACTTTAAGAAACTCTATTTGAAAACGTATCATATCTAATGACACAATGACATGGAGTGAAAAGTAGATGAAATAAAAATGAACCAAAAGCCAGTCAGGGTTGGCGGCTTTAAATGTTATTATGTTAAACTATATTTTCTCCATCTTTTATGTAAGAAATAATTATAATTTTTTTCTCTAATTATAAAAAAAAATAGCTATTTTTTAAATGTATTATTTGTAAATTTTTTAGTATTTTTATTGATTGTGAGATTTATGTTAATGAGATACTCACTTATTATTCACACAAGTGAATATAATATAATTTATTATTTATGATATATTATTTATATATACTGTTTCAATAAAAGGAGCCGAAGCGTCTTTGAAATATGTTTGTTGACGTTTACTTCCTTAGCATTTCTGTCCATGCAGACTCAGTCTTACAGCAAGAGTCCATCAATTTCTTTTTCTCGCTCTTATTAATAAAAACTAAATATTATTAATCCGTTAAACACCGAAAATGTTTCAAGTAATTATTGCATTCAGTACTACAAAATTTATGATCATAGATGTTTTTACTAACCCTAAACTGTATGCATAATTCGTTACCAGCAGAAAAGTGAATGCATAATTACAATATTTATATATCCTTTCATGTTGCAACAGTGAACAATTTGTTAAATATTTGTCAGTACGTTGAATATTCACCTGTTGAGGGTGTTATTTATTTTGGTATAACCGTAATTTAAGTGTACTAAATTCCTATGTATTCCAATAATTATTAAAGATAAAAAAATTATTAATATATTATTAACTCATTTGTTATATATTTGGAATTTTTGCCTGTGTAGGGTTAAATGAAAGATATTTTATCCGTATGGGGTTGTTTGACGAAAAATTCCCTGTCTAGGGTAATTTGTGAGTGTCGTAAAAAATGTTGGCGACACATGACCAAGTATCGGCTGAAAGAATGGCGACACAGGTGCCAGACCCGACTACTGAGAGCGGTTACTTTCAAACCGCTCTCAAAAGTCCATTTAAGAGAGCGGTTCAATTCGAACCGCAACCGCTCTCTAAAATAGACTTTTGAGAGCGGTTCGAATTGAACCGCTCTCTTAAATGGACTTTTGAGAGCGATTCAATTCGAACCGATCTCAAAAGTCATGTTAGAGAGCGGTTCACACCAGTGTCGGGTTGTTCAGGACCGATACACACTGATTGGTCTCCTTTGTGCTTCTGGTTCTGTTATTCATCTTCTTTGGTGAAAAATTTTTGCAAATTGAAAATGCAGAGGTGGAGGTGGAGGTGGAGTAAAGAAGTAGGGCTTGCATATTCTGAAAGCTTTAAAAGGTAAGAAAAAAATATTATAGTGTATATTAGATATAAATATAAAATATTTATTCTTGCTTCCGTTTTTGGTCCTAAGAATATTGCAATCGGTGGTGGTCCAGGCTACTGTGAGAGGGACTTTCGGTGGTCCAGATTCTTAGCAAAAGGAGGTTAGTAAAAATTTATATTAGCTTGTGATTTTGTTATGCATGTAAAAAATAGGAAAATAGGAATATAGAAAAATAGAAAAATAGGAAAATAGGAAAATAAAAAAATAGTTAAATTAAAATATATAATTTTCTTGTTACTTATGTAAAAAATAATTAAATAAGAAATATAAAATAATTAAATTGAATAAATATATGAGAAAAAATTATGTGTGATTATTATTATAAGGTTAATAAAATATAAAATTATGAATAACAAAATAAAATTGAAATAATAAGAATGAAAAATATTAATTAATAAATTTATATTATAAGAATCTGCAGTTGTTAAATTTCTAATAATATTTCAACAAATATTATGTCACATAAATAAGAAATAGTAAATAAATTAAAATTGTGAAAGATTAAAATATAGTTATGCATCAAATAATTATAAATTAGATTAATTAAAAAAAATTAGAGTCAAATATAAGGAATTAAGTGAAATAAAGATGAATATATAAGCAATGTAAGTTAAATAAAATTGAAAATATTATTTTAAAATATAAATGACTGAAAATAAAAATATTAAATCAATATTAATTTAGACATTTGAATATTTTAAAAAGTTTGTAGTTATTTAAATGATTTTAATTAAATGATTTTAATCAATAATAATAAATTACAATTTTATGCATGAAAAAAAAACAAAAAAAAGGGAAAGAGAAAAATAGGAAAATAATTAAATTAAAATTGATTTTTCATTTTATTTATGTAGAAAACTGTATTTAAAAGTAAAAATGATGATGATATTATTATTGTTATACAAATATTATTATCTTAAAATAACAAAAAAATATAATTAGAAAAATATTATTTGAAGGTACAAATTGTTTAATACTAAAATGATATTGTTTTTATTAAATTTAGTTGCTTATATTATAAATTTGAAGTTAATAGTTTACTTGTTTATATAGATTTTAGATGGCATCATCTTCGTCTCGTAGTAGGGTGTTAAATCCCGGCCCCGAGGATGGTTCATTACTGTGCTATCAGTCTATTCATGTTTCAGAGCATATTTGGGATGGTCGTGAACACCCAATATTGAGAGTGAGAAGAGGTCATTTCATACATGCTGGCATGGAGGGAGTACCAGTAGAGATTATTCCTCATTTGACAGTAGCAGGATTTGCTAGAGTAGCAAAGTTGGCTAGTATTCCTATTGACCGCCAATTGATTACAACGTTAGTAGAAAGATGGAGGCCAGAGACCCATGCATTTCACATGCCCCCTGGAGAGTGTGCTATTACTCTTCAAGACATTGCTATTCAGATGGGTCTTCGTATTGATGGAAGACCAGTTATTGCCCCTACAGGAGGTGACAGGGCACAAATTGTTGAAGATTTATTGGGAATTAGACCACCTAATTCTGCATTTATGGGGAGCAACTTGAAACTTACTTGGTTGGATGAGCATTTTTCCCATGTTGGGTTGCACAACCAAAATCCCATTCAGCTAACTCGCTTTGCAAGAGCATATATTTTGAGACTTATTGGTGGGTTTATGTTAGCTGATCATTCTAGTAGCAGGGTCCCAGTTAGGTACCTTCCTTTACTTGAAGATTTAGAGATAACTGGACAATATAGTTGGGGAAGTGCAGTGTTAGCCTTCCTATACAGAGAGTTATGCATGTCCACGAATATTGATCGGTCTGGTATTGGAGGATTGACTCCACTTGTGATGCTGTGGGCGTGGGATAGGTTCCCATTTCTATCTCCGGGTGATCCCCCTTACACACAGAATGATCTTCCTTATGGTGCACGGTATGTCTATAATATTAAAACTTTCATTCAATATTTACACAACAGTATTTTATTACAAATAGTCATGGTAATATTTATGTTTTTATAGGTGCTTAAGATTTCAAAATTTTAGGAAGGGGAGAAAGGATCTAGCTTACTTTAGGTTCAAATTTGATCATTTGAAACGTGATCAGGTATGCGTTATTTGTTTATGATATATGTTATCATCAACAAAATATTATTAATAATTACAATAATATTTTGTACACTTGCAGTTTGTGTGGCAACCATATAGTATAGATTTGATGCATACTTTGCCTGCCATATGCACTGAGGGCATGCATATATGGAGAGCTATTGTGCCGCTTATTTGTTTCCAAATATGTGAATGGCACCAGCCCGATCGTACCATGCGTCAATTTGGGATGGTACAACATATTCCTCATGCTCCTTATCAGCCAGACCAGCTACATGACATTACTCTTAGAGGGAAGACTGCTGACAATTGGGAGTCAAAATTCAGGGGCGTACTAGAGCATTGGGATAGGAGATTAGATTGGGTTGTGAGTAATGAACCGCAAATTGGTCTACTGAGTTCGAACTCTGAATACATGCGGTGGTACCATACTCATATTAGACGGTGGATGAGCAGAGATGCTGCAGTGTTTGCATTACTTGTACGTATAGATCATTCTAGTAAACGATTTTGTTTGTTTAATAGAATCTAATCTCAATGTAATGGTTATGCAGGGAGATGCTCATGAGAGGGCCTATTACTTGTGTAATGATAGGAGGGACACATTTTCATTTGAGGAGATGAAGGATTTGTGTGAGACGATGTTAGCCTTGCAAAATGAGCAGGAACGTATCTTAGAGCCATCATCCTCATGTGATCCTCCTATCCAGAGTGGAAATCTAGATGAGCCTCAGATTGACATTGGTATTGGTGAACAACGTCGGGAAGGCAAAGGTTTGCAACGTCGGCGAACGTCATTTCAGGTATTGTTACCTTATGCTTCATTGGGTCATTTTACTTAAATTATAACACTTTATGTTTCATTTGAACATACTTATGTGTTTAAAATTGCAGGTCACAGATTTTACATTGCCCCATTTGCCCGAACAAGGAGATGGTGTTTATTATGTCCCACCATCTTTTCCGTTTCAACAATCACAATGGACACAGTCATCTTATGTTCACTCATCACAGCAATCAAACGTCCCTCCTGCATCTCCATTTTTTAGCGGTGAATTTTATGTTCCTGACGCTAGCCTTTTCATGACACCTCCTCCATATGAGCCTATGTTTTTCACACCGAGTGCACCCGATGTAGGCACTCATCAAAGTGGATGTAGTGAGCAAACAACATCAATGGTACCTGTGCATGACCGTGGAATTGATCTTAATGCTGAATTCATTGCAGCCTCAGATGCAGCAAAAGCTGATGTGAGACGTAACCCTCACCGTGGAGCGCGAGATCGTCGTCGACAGTGCATTCTCACACCTCATGAGAAGGGACCTCACGAGCAGTCATTGAATTCTGATTGACACTATGTTATGATACTATATTTGAAAACTTTAGATGATGTTAATTAATGTTTGCTTTTGTTTAAATGCACGACTCATTTATAATTTGTCACATTCTACACATTCGACATCAAACAAGATTAATCAAACAACATACATTAATGACACAACATACCACAATAAGACAACATACATTAATAAAATCTACCACACTTTTTACAATCATACAGTACTAGTCATGATTAATGTTAGCATTGCTTTGTTGAGTACAATGACGTTGATTATGACCTGGTTCTCGACATAACCGACATCGTTGTCGCGGTTGTGACTCAACCCAATCCATTTCATTTCTAATTCTACAAGCCTTTGGTCTTCCTTTACCTCGTGCTCTATCTTGATCAGGCAACAACTTCCATTCATCCTTTTGTAAAATGTTTGCTTCATTTCCAAGCGGCCACCACTGAGATGAGTATGCGTTCACAACATACTGCAAAGTATATACAGGATCAACATACTGCCAAAAGTCTATACTTACAGTAACACAAGCGGCTATGACATGTGAACAAGGGTATCGGTATGCCTGAAATTTGCCACATTCACATTCACGTGTAGATAATATCACACTCCACTTATGACCCTCCCTTTGTGTCATTGGATTAAAAGCCTCTTCAATCTCGAACCTTGTACTTTGTATGTCGTAACGACGAACCTGATGTGAAGATGCTTCTTGTTGATTTTCTTCTATAGCTTCAATTAATTTACGACAATACCTTTTACCATTGTTCATGTCATTGATTGCGCTTTCACCCCGTTTGACAAAATATTCTACCAATCTACTATAGGTTGCTTTCACAAGGGCAGTAATTGGGAGATTTCTTGCCCCTTTTAAAACTTTATTCACTGACTCAGACAAATTAGTCGTCATGTGACCATAACGCCGCCCTTCATGATCATAAGCCAAGCTCCACTTTTCCTTTGATATGTTGTCAATCCATGTTTGAACTTCAGGAGAATGCGAACGAAATTTATTAAGACCAACTTCAAATCTTTACTTGCAAGGTGTATACGCTACATTTAAATAAGTTATACAGTTAATGGTGAAAAATAAATATATATTCATAGATAATGTAAAATGTAATAGTGATAACATACTTACCTAATTTCATAAGCATACTCTTCATTGCGGAATTTTTGAATCTTCTATTGAAATTGCTTGCAATGTGACGAATGCAATAAACATGGTAAGCATTAGGAGGTTGTCACCCAATATGTGGATTAGACACAGCACTTTTAATACTTTGATGACGATCAGATATTAAACAAATTCCAGTTTTATCAGTAACATTTAGACGGATCATGGCTAAGAACCATTCCCATGCTGATAATGTTTCTCCTTCAACAATGGCAAATGCTATAGGAAGCACACTGTTATTGCCATCTTGAGTTGTAGCAATAAGCAATGTTTGCTTATATTTACCATACAAAAAGGTACTGTCTACCTGTATTATAGGCTTGCAAAACTTGAAGGCTTCACGACATTGCCTAAACGACCAAAATACTCGATGAAAGACTCTGAATCTATTATCCATTACATTACCTCTCACATAATCATTGGTCTCAATTTTGTAAACTGACCCTGGAGCATGTAATTGCATGTATTCTAACCATCTTGGTAATGTTGCATAAGATTCATCCCAATCATCAAATATTGTCACAATTGCTTTTTGCTTTGCTTTTCATGCTTTTTTGTATGAAACTGAATACCCAAATTGGCCACTTATTCTCTCTTGGATTAATGAAACGGGAACAGAAGGTTCTTCTTTGACCATATCTGTCAATAAAATTAAACAATACATCTTAGCTAATGATCATATCCAAATCATTTTAAATAGACAAATAAATATAATCTCAATTGAGTTTCACGTACCAATAATGGATGAACAAATAAAATTTGAATCTAACTTTTTGTGGTCTTGAGAAATCATAGTATTAACGCAGGTATGCAGACCACCCCATCTCGTAATTTTCCACTTATTTGAATTTTTGGGTAGCAATGCTCTTACTTTCCAAGGACACCCGGAAATATGATTCACACACTTGACAAAATGAGTTGATGCTTTTGACTCAACCACAAAAAATGTTTGATGTTTCTTCATTGCATAATGTTTTATCGCCATCTTTACCTCCTCTTTAGAGTCAAATAGTTGTCCAACATATAATGCATCTCCTTGTACCCATGATTGTGACGAATGCAACTCCGAAAAATCCAATTCTTGATCAGGATGTTCCCAATTAATAGCAGTGTAGTGTGAACTTATGTTCCAAAAAGGTGTTATAGAATCTGTATTAAACTCAAGAAATGTTAGTTAAAAATATTTTACAATTATTGTATTATATAAAACTGTACCTGCAGATTGTCTTTGCATAATGTTATTTCTTTCAGTGTTTGGAACTGTCATCATTGAATCGAAGCCATCTTCCAAATCAGTATCAAAAGAACTATCTAAAGGAATTTCTCCTTCATCTTCATAGTCATCATCGTACTCATCTTCGTCATCTTTAGATGCAGCAGCAAATATTTATTAATAAATTATAAAATTTTAAACATCATATAATTTAAATAAATATTATACATTACCTCCTCCAATTGCATACTCTTCTTCATTGTCACTAACAGACACAATTGGGAGTGATACATTTAAACATAACAAACTTTCATCTACATGAGAAGTTTCACCAATCGCAATATCCACATATAACTCAACTACTCTTTCATGCCGTTCTTGACAAGCACTTATCATACAGTCAATGTCTTCATCATCACATACATCTAAAATTGTGTAATTTCCACTCCTTGAATCAACTAAAATTCGTGAAATTAGTCTAGAAATTATATTACTATTGCACAATCTCAATTTTGTATGTATTTTTTTTTTCAACATCTCAAAAGTAATTTCACGTTCTATTTTAATCATTTTCTTATTCCCTTCGAATATGATATCCTCATTTCCTTTGTACACTCTTCCATTCCAGTATAAAATAATCACAATTTCAGTCATTCTATGTATCAAATTAAAAAATACAACCAAAATTATTACAAAATTTTACCTAAACAAATAGTAACAAAAATAATTACCACAACATTAAAATAATATATTTTTACATTTATATTTTTAATAATATTATATTAACATTAAATAAATTAAATTTATTACTACAAATATTTTTATTTTTATTTATTTATAATAATATTAAAATTATTAATTCAAATTTATTTACAATAATAAAAAAATTTAAAACAATAAATTAATAACATTCTAACCTTTTTCTTCCAGCATAACAACTCACAATTGCGGAACTCCTCTCTTCACAATTGCGAAATGCAGCAGCAGAATACACCTCGGCGTCTGCCTTTAAATAAAGCGTTTGAGGAGAGATAGTGTCGGCATTATTTCAGCCGATACACAAGTGTCGCATAAATTTAACCGACACACATGACTTTTGAGAGCGGTTTGAATTCGAACCGCTCTCTTAATGGACTTTTGAGAGCGGTTTGAAAGTAACCGCTCTCAGTAGTCAGGTCTGGCACCTGTGTCGGCATTCTTTCAGCCGATACTTGATCTTGTGTCGCCAACATTTTTTCCGACACTCACAAATCACCCTAGACAGGGAATTTTTCGTCAAACAACCCCATACGGATAAAATGTCTTTCATTTAACCCTACACAGGCAAAAAACCCTATATATTTTAGTGTCAGAAGACAAGTACGCGGTTACTTCAAGAATTTTATTTTAGGATTCTATTTGCTGTTTCTCGCTTTTTTTAATAATATATTATAAAAGGGTTATTATGTCTCTGTTTTGCAAAATCAATCATTTTTCTCTTAATATCTTTCTTTTCTCTTTCATGAGTTCTTTTCTGAATACGGATTATGAGACTATATCACGTTTCATCTTGAGTGTATGTTACTTTTGAGAGCAAAATTAACTATCAAATTGTACTAGAAGTCTATCCAAATTTTGCTTTAAAGGCAGTAATTTTAATCATTACGTAACAATTTGTTCTGTTTATTTTTAATAATTTGAAAGAAATTTCTTTACAAGTATACTATGACTATAGATCAACATAGTGATAGAAATGAATTTGGTATGTAACATTGCTTTTCTTTCACTCCATCTAATGTATCATATTTGATTTGCATGAGAATCTGAATTGCAATCATTATCTTACTCCATTTACCCTTTGAGTTTCAGGTTGCATTTTTTTATTCATGACCTTACTCCAAGTTGAGATAAACTCTTTCCCAAATCTATTAAGTGTTTTTTTTTTTTTTGAGTTACTTGTCTTCAAAAAGGTTATTGATGTTATTCTCCAAACCTACACCACTACCATGTTTTTACAGATGTCAACTTCTTTGAGAGTTGTAACATCCTCGTTTTTATATTTATTATTATAATATTAAATGTTGGTTATATTTGTGAAGTTATTTAAATTTTAGAGAGTTTAAATGAAGTAAGTTGTAGGATATCTGTGAGAAAGACCGTCCAAAATCAAGCTCTCTGACTTTCTCTCGTTGTAGAAAGGATTCTCTCACTATAGTGAGAAGCTCTCACTGTAGCTAGAATGACAAATAACAAAGTAAAATTTTGACTAGTTTTTTTGCTACAGCAAGAGAAGAGCTCGTTGTAGCGAAAATATCGCAAGTTAAGAGGTATTTAAAGATTTTTAACTTAGAAAACTTGGATTACAATCTAAGTTTTGAGCTATCTCCTGTAGTTTCTGATCTCTAACCCCCTCTTCTCAGAAAATCTCCCCAAAACTTCAACTTTCCTCTGAATCCTAGCTCAATCAACTCCAAGTAAGTTCTTGGAGCTTAGTTCTCTCATTTTTGTTTGTTTTCTAAGTTTCTCCCTTCTCAAAATGCTCTCTTTTGTGATATCTAAGAAAAGCTAGGACCTTTCACCAAAACCCCTCATAAACCTTCTTTTAAAACTTCATTTCAAGGTAAGGAGGGCTCTATT